ATTCTCATAGAAGTCTCGGGAGGCGATGGGTTTATAGTAGGGTGAATACTAGCTGGCCGTATATTTTTAAATATTTTTAAAAAATTAAAATTTTTATTGCGATTCCGACCCCCAACTTAATTAAACTTATATATAATAAAATCTATTAATTAAAAAAATTAAAAAACTATCTGAGGTCGTTTTTGACATCAGAAACTAGCTTTAAATAACTTTACCGAAGGAAAATCCATGCACTACAACATTAGAACGATGAATGAAATTTGATATCAAACTCCCATTAAAAAACTATTAAAAAGCAATTAAGTGTGAAGCGTGTGTCATTAAAGATAATTAAAATCGCGATTAAATTTGTTCGCGCGGGAAAAAAATTTTGAAAAAATTTGGAGACTTAAAAAACATTCCAAAAATTCAAAAAAAAATTTCAAAAATGGTCTTAAGGACCGCATTTTATGTAATGCTATGTAACTTTCCCGAGATATCTCGGGATATGTCCTTAAGGGAATCTTTGACATTATTTAGATTAAATATTTGCTTTTTAATAGATTTTTGCATGAAAAATATGATGCTTTATTTCATGCTATTCTGATCAGTGGTTCCTGAGATATAGGCTAAATTAATGATTATTCTTATTTTTTGATGAATGTATATTGTAATAATTTAAAGGAATTCACAATCCTTAATGTCTAAAATAAATTGTTTACATTAATAGAAATATTTTCTTAACAATTATTATTTAAAATTCAGTAACATAAATTTATTTATAATTTTTAATCATAAACTATACAATGCCACCTTAAGAATATTATGATTCTAAAGTAAAATTATTATATTTCTAGAAAATATTTCTGAAAAATCATCAATATTATCACATATTAGTGAAAATTCATATGATTATTCTGAAGCAGTAAGTAATTAATGTATTATAAATTACTTTTTAAATGTAAATATTTTAATTATAAAAAAATTAAATTAGTAAGTAATGAAATATTACCAGTCAATTAATTATTATTCCATTTTTATAAAAATTATATGTTAACTCATAATATCACAATTTAATATTTTTTTATTATTGTATTATTAGTGAAAATGTAATTTTATCTGTTAGCAAAGAGAACTTTCTATTGTTTTGTTTGTTTGTTATTAATATAGATAATTTTATTCATACAATTTAATGTGCTTTTGAAAAGATATAACAAATTTTATGGTATGTTAGAAATGGATTATATAATAATATAGATTTTTTGAAATTATTGTTTATTGATGTAAATAATAATTCTAATGCAAAATTAAAACATATCATTTCAATGTTATATAATTTTGTTTGACTGAATCAATATTCTCTAAGAACTTTTTTCAGTAACAATTCACTTTACCTAGTGGTAGGATGCTACACTTCTTGTTTTATGCATACCATGATACTCATGCACTTATCTTCTCTCTGTATCAGTCTCACTGTACATTTGAAGTGTGCAGTCATTCATAGGGAGGAGAGAAGGATCATGCATGCTGAAGCTCATGCTTCAAAAACAGTAAAACTATCTTTGTTGTTGAGATATCTCCAACTTTCTTTAAAATATTACTTGTAACCTCAATAATAATTTTCTATAGATAAAAGAAAATAAGATTTTCATAACTAGTATAATACATTCTATAGACAAAATAATGACACATTCTTAAAAGAAAGCATTGAATTTGCTTGTCAGTGACTCAGTGGAATAAACAAACTGGTCAAAAAACTATGTCAATCAACTTTGGATTTAAAATTAAAAGCTGAATTTAACTGAGTTTGTGATATATATATTTGATATATATTGATTAAGTGTTCACTTTATATTAAAATCATATAAATACGATTTTGTAATGATCATTAAGAGAACATTTTTCCCATAATAGTTATAAATATTTAATTTATAGATGACTTCTATAAATATTTAACATTATAAACTTCTTAAAACTGATCATTAGTACTTTTCATATATAAAAATAAGCTTTTTAATAAGCAAAAGTTCAACATGCTATAAAAAAAACTGGCTACATCATAAAATCCAATCTTTTGATATAATACAGTATAATCTTATTTTTTATGTCAGTGACAAACAGTTCAGGTCAATCCTTGGATGCATAGTAGTAATTCTGGCTATTAATACTTTAATCTCATGCAATAAATAACAATGAATTTGACTCTTAAATCAGCAAACCATTCTACTCCAGCAACTGACATGCTAAACACAGAGAACTAATGAATACTACTCACCATGTAATATCCTGAGTTGCATCATTTTTCTCAAGTAGTATATTCACCATGCTGTGATAAAATTTTGCTCTCTATATTCAGAAATGCTGAACTAAAATCTTATTCAGTAGAGTAAAAACATAATTAAAATGTTTTAAACGTATTTTAAAGTTTTTAAATTAATTGTAAATAGTTGTACAAGTATATAGGCAAACATCTGGGACTAAGTACAGCACAAATTTACACAGAATTCCATTTTACTTAGTATCTGTTGACATGAAACCCCACATAAAACAAGATCATACTGTAGTTTTATTTTTTGAAGTTTTTATATATTATCTAATTAATTTTAATATTGTATATCATATTTTTGTCACACCCTTTTAATAACAAATTCTTTTAATTTTCCAGCAATCATTCAAGAAATATAATCTAAGACCACGTAAAAGTAAACATATGAAAGAATCTTTTATTAAACAAGAAACATTTCCTACAAAAAAGTGTGTGTGACTGTAAATATTATGTAGAAAGATTATGTAATTTTTTATTTCACTTGTATAGATTTTCTTAGTATATTTTATTCACATTTTTTTTATTTGATTTAGTATATAATATGTGATGTGATGATTTAACTTTACTGTACAGAAATAAATTACAAATATTTAATTAATTTACTGTTGAAAACCAGGTGTTCTGTAAGAAAATACTAACTGGGAGCATATTTCCATTAATTTAAATGGAAAAAAATTATAATGTATTACAATATCAACTAATATGCTAAAACATAAATAAAACATATAAGTTAAGTAACAAATCATATTATTTGGTGATTGATAACAGTTTCTGTGTATGTAGTAACATATACTAGTACAGTTTCTATGCCACAACCATAAATATTATATTTACAGCATGGCACAGCAAATAGCATACAACAATAAAGAAATTTTTTTGTAGTAAACTATTACTCACTAATTGAGGTGAAGACTTAAAGCTTCAAGAAAACACTCTTTCCAAAACATCTACAAATGATTCTGATACAAGGCACATTCAATAGAAAACTGGAAAAGTGCCATAAAAAATTGGGAGGATGAGCAATAGTATAGTAATTTTGACACACAAAACTTCCAAGTCAGAGGCAACAGTAACTGTGACTGGCAACACTATTGATGTGTAAAGATGTAAGATCATGGACTGACATAATGCCTCTCCAGCAGTGCATGAAGCAAGAGCAGTGTAATGTTGTCCAATTTTTGACAAAACTCAATCAACATCCATTGGCACATGAAGGTACTGTACATTAAGGAGATGACCACATGAGTTGTACACAAGTGTACAAGTAGAGTTCTAAGGTTCCAAAAATAGCCAGTTTTGTGGAAGATTCTCAATGGCATTCATTGTGGTCCCAGCCATAGAGGATCTTCCACAGAACTGTGGCTGTTTTTGGAACCTTAGAACTCAAGTTGCACACAACTGTACAAATAATGTAATTATCTTCTTGCCTGCATGTGCAAATGTATGTCAATTGGTTTTTGTCAAAAGATTGGACAATACTACACTGCTCTTGCTTCATGAACTGCTGGAGAAGCATTGCCATTTTATTGGTCTATTGTCTTTTGTTCTTGCACATCAATAGTGTCATCAGTCACAGTTACTGTTACCTCTGGCTTGAAAGTTTTATGTCAAAATTACTATGCTTTTGCTCATTCTCCCAACTTTTAATGGCACTTTTTTGGTCTTCTATTATGTATGCCTCTTGTACATTCCAAATAAAATTGGAGACAAATTGAAACACTATGTAAGTTTTATTGAAATGTATTCATATCTACGAAGTTGGAGTTTAAAAATCAAGAGATGTTCTATTAGAAAAAATATTAACATGGAAGATGTTCTATGAAGAATGCCTGTATTTTGGAAGTAAACTAAGCATTTTAAAATTAGATTTAATTTAGTTTGCTTTTGTTTTTGTCTTTCAATAATCATCTAAATGCAGAGTAGATGATGATTAAAAAAAAAGAATGAAGAATCACAGATGATGATTGAAGCAAATTCAATTAAAAATTAAATGAGAAATTATTTATTGTGACATTGTCCAATGCTGGGCTGCAAATTTTAATCATTTTTTAAATTTATTTAATTTAAAATATATGCTCTCCACCTCAAATTAATGTTGAAGTGTCTTGCCCCTGTAACTCATACTTTTCTGTTAGCAATAGAGTCGTTCCAGTCATCTAGTAACTGCTTTCAGGGGAAGTTTTGAATTGAAATAATGTGACTTCCAGTTTGCATCGAAAGTTCGTATATAGTTAATTGGGCCCTCCTGTCCTAAGGCTTCCATATCTGATCTAGTCTTTCATCTAACTCTGTTCTCTAGATTAAGGAAAGAGGGATGGATGACAGTGAGATTTAATCTACAATTTTTTCAAATTTCAGCCCAACAAGCACAATTGAATAAGAGAAAATATTTTAAATATTTTAGCATATATAATTTTTAAAACATTTTTTTTCTTATCTATTTAAAATATATGTATAATTTTTTAAAAGAATATCTAATGATTAAATTTGTTAAAGTCAGAGTTATATTTCTTTCTGGTGAATAAAGGAAGTTGGAAATGAATGCTTTTTTATTCCTTTGGAAATGACTGGGTCATTTCTTCTGCTGTCATTTTGCTGCATAATGTACAAATACCACCATACACAAATATGTAAATATTTTGTGTGTGAAACAAGCAACACTCCCATTCCTCCAGGTATTCTCAGTGCTTGTTCACATTTCACACCAGGAGAATACAAACAAGTGGTTGTAAGTGGAGATATCATTCTTTGGGGAAAACATCTTTACCTGGAGTGATGTTACGTTAGTTATTCTTTGTAGTTTTTGACAACAAATCTTTATTATAAATAAAAGTTCATTAGTAGACTGATTGAAATATGACAAAATTAAGTTCTGAGATTACTGTTATTTAGAAAATAAAAATGTGTTAAATTAATGCTGAAGATTAGAAAAATTCTTCATTTTTTGATATTTTAGAGCAGCGATTCCCAACCCGGGGTACGCGTAATCCTGGAGGTACGCGATAGGTTGTTTAGGGGTACAGAAAAAAAGTTATATTATTTTTTCTGCCATAATAACTATTATGTAACACAAATNAATACGATTTTGTAATGATCATTAAGAGAACATTTTTCCCATAATAGTTATAAATATTTAATTTTTAGATGACTTCTATAAATATTTAACATTATAAACTTCTTAAAACTGATCATTAGTACTTTTCATATATAAAAATAAGCTTTTTAATAAGCAAAAGTTCAACATGCTATAAAAAAAACTGGCTACATCATAAAATCCAATCTTTTGATATAATACAGTATAATCTTATTTTTTATGTCAGTGACAAACAGTTCAGGTCAATCCTTGGATGCATAGTAGTAATTCTGGCTATTAATACTTTAATCTCATGCAATAAATAACAATGAATTTGACTCTTAAATCAGCAAACCATTCTACTCCAGCAACTGACATGCTAAACACAGAGAACTAATGAATACTACTCACCATGTAATATCCTGAGTTGCATCATTTTTCTCAAGTAGTATATTCACCATGCTGTGATAAAATTTTGCTCTCTATATTCAGAAATGCTGAACTAAAATCTTATTCAGTAGAGTAAAAACATAATTAAAATGTTTTAAACGTATTTTAAAGTTTTTAAATTAATTGTAAATAGTTGTACAAGTATATAGGCAAACATCTGGGACTAAGTACAGCCCTCAGGTATATTTTATAATAAAATAAATAATATAATTATCAAACTATGGACTGAAATTAAAAAAACAAACAAAATACAAAGTTTTAAAATATACTTGTAGAATTTACAAAATTATAAAACTAGCAATTGAGAAAAGATTTATCTCAAATTGAAATGGAGTCTTAGCTGAGTATTGTAAGAAACAGTTGATTTTTCATAAGACAATCCAATGGAAATTTTGATGTGAAATATCTGCAGTAATGCCATTAGGAAAATGATATATGGCAAAATTTTTTAAACAATTTTTATAATTTAATCAAATTTAACATTATAGATCAATGTGAATAGTAAAAATATATAATTCTCATTCTTTATTGACTAAATTTATGAAGCATATATGATTGTTATAAATACTTCCAATATAAATTAAAATTTGTTAATCTCAAAAGAGTTTTCAAAAATAGTTTGTATTTAAATTTGCTCCACTTGAGTTTTGTTTTCTTTGATATGTATTATATAAGCCTGAATAAATGCTTTAAAAAATTAAGAAAAAAATATTTGCAAGTTTTACAATTAGTTTTTATTCTAGTAACATCAATATAAGTGTTTTCTTTTCTATAGATAAATAAGACTATGAGTAAACAACCACTCACTACACCAGAATATAGTTAATCACATATTCTGAACCATTATGGTGTGTAGATGATAAACAAACAAAAACGAACATTTTCAAACTCCTGATGAAGGACTCAGAAGGAGTTTGAAAACATTCATTTTTGTTTGTTTTTGTCATCTGCACACTGTAATTGGTTCAAAATAGGTGATTAAGACTATGAGGAAAAGTAAATACAATTAATAAGATAGGAGAAATACAAGACCGATACTGAAATTAATCAAAAATCTTTTTCAGTAAAAAACTTTAAACCTCAACCTGCAAAAATTATTTATTTTATCAAACATTTTATCTGTATATGCAAGCATCTTCAGGATTCAATAGAAATGGAATACACTAGTACAGTACATTGTGTAACTTTGTTGTATCACAATAGAATTGAGATGGAGTCAGAAAGAAGTGATCCTTACAGCTGACAGTTGCAAAGGCAAACTTTGCATTTGCTGCCACAAACTTACTGACACAGAAAAACAATCCAAGAACAAAGCAGTTGGCATCAATTGCTTTGTTCTTCAGCTTTGTTTGTTTTTCACACCTATTTTCTGTTAGGCACATGCAATGTTGCATTTTTTTTTATTTTTTTTTTATCCCTAAATTCCATTAGGCATGCTCAATTAAGTCAGGGAGCATGGGCATTGTCAATTTGACCTACTGTATATCAAAAACAAAGTCATGGAATCCTATTTTTTACATTTACATGGACCCTTATTACATTTCTGGATTCCTCATTGCAATTAATCAAAATTGGTCCATCCACTTTTGAGAAAGGACTCAATTCTATCAATATAAGCCCATAGAAGATATGCTAGCAACCTGTGATATTATCCAACAAAGTTGTGTGCACTTGTGCTAAGACCTTGTATCTTGAAAACAAAGTCATAGATCCCTATTTTTATTACATTTTTGGATTCTTCATCTCAATTAGTGAAATTTGAATTAATTAAAATCTATTGATCAAATTTTCAGATAAAACAAAATTTTGTAAGCCATATAGAAGAGGCTTCACTAATGCTCTGCCTCAAATATAGTACAGAATATATGCAATTTGAATTTAATTTAAATGTAGAAAAATAATTGCATTTAAATAAGAATATCACAATTGAAACTGCAAACAAATAAAGTAGAAAAAACAAAAGTAAAAATGAAAATAATAAAGTAACAAAACATACATGTAAAGTAGGTAATAAGAGGAACTCTGATTTAGTATATACAAACAAAATATTTTCAGGCTGAGAAAGGGCATCCTTGTGGTTTATATACAGTGTTTGGTGTGCTTAAATATTAACTTTTAAGGATTTTTTTCCATAGTTTGGCCTCTAGCTGTCTTGAGGAGCTTTGCATTGTCAAAATGATGGATGTTTTCAGGTGTCATTAACATAATGGCTAATGCAGTTGTACATTTTCCTTTTTACACATCATACTGACATTCCTTGAGTTGTGTGGTGAGGTTATTATCTATATGTCCATATTTTGTTACTTTATTATGAAAATAATACAAAATGTACTTGTTACTTTACTACATCTTTATTTTTTACTTTATTTGTATTTGGATATGATATTCTTATTTAAATGCAATTCTTTTTCTACATTTTAATTTAAAATGCATACATTCTAAACTATATTCTAATTCATTTTTGTTGGATCTTGAAGATGGCTGTGTAGACAGCTGAAAATGCTTATTAAAATAAATAACTTTTGCTAGTTAAAGTTTAAAATTGTTTCATTGAAAATGATTACCAGTTTTTTCTGCCAAATCAAAAATCTTTTTAACTGAGTTGTAATGCTCAGGCATAAGTTTATAAACCGTAAGTAATGAAATAAATAAATCTTTCTAACTCAGCTTCTAAAAACTGTTTATCTGTATACTATTATATCAATAC